CCCACCCATTACGCTTGGCCTGTTTTAGAGAACACCTCCCCGAAGCTGCGGGAAGCAGAGGTGAAGATCATCGACTACAAGCTCTGCAACAGCCAGAATGTCTACGAGGGCTACCTGACCCCCCGGATGATGTGTGCGGGGTACTTGCAAGGCGGGCGAGATGCCTGCCAGGTAAGATGGGCTTCTGCCAGGGGGCCGGAGCGAGCGCAGCCGCCGGGCGATCTCATGGGCGTGCCTGAGACGAGTGTCCCGATGCAGGTGCCTGACGCCCCGGGGGTTTGGGGCTCAGAGAACAGCGACCGGAGGGGGCTGTGGCCAGGGCTGTCCCCGGAGGGCTCTCCTCTCTGAAGGAACGAGGGAGCTGCCGAGGACACCCGACCCGCGGCAGGTACTGTCCACTCCTTCCCAGACACTGGGAGAGGAGGCCCCCTTGCTGAGGGGCTGCCTCAGGGAGACGCGTCTCATGAGCTGGACGGGGCGGGCAGGGGGGACCAGTGGCCAGGCGCCTTCCATCGCCTGCAGCTGCCCCCGGGGCCGAGTCCAGCCCCCGAGTCTTCTCACGGCCCCGCTGACCTTGCCCCTCTGCCTTAGGGTGACAGCGGCGGCCCTTTGGTCTGCCAGGAGAGCAACCGCTGGTACGTGGCCGGCGTCACAAGCTGGGGGACGGGCTGCGGCCAGAGGAACAAGCCAGGGGTCTACACGCGGGTCACAAAGCTGCTCAGTTGGATCCACAGCAAAATGGAGGTGAGGCGGCTGCTTGTGACTTTCTGCCTCGGGAGGGCTGCTCGGGTGGCCCGAGCAGGGTGGCCACACTGGGCAGGCAGCAGAGGGAGGTACCCCGAGGGACCGTCAAGTGTTTCCATGCCAGGCAAAGGACAAGAGGGGCGGACACCCCCTTGCGAGGGGAGCCTTACTTTCAAAGCAGGCTCGCAGGAACGAAGGGTCTGTTTGCCTGTTCCAAAAGCCACACAGGGTTGTGTGTGGAGGGGACGATGATCTATTGTAGTAGTGAAGTGTGGACCCATCTGCAGATACTTAAATCCACAGATTGGGGCCATTTACACAGAAGGAAGATTTTCCTGCAATTTTTTGGGGGGGGAGGGGAGACCACAGGCTTGCAATTTTTTTTTTGAAACTTAGAAAAGGGGAGCGGATCCTACAAAAACCTGGAGATAGAGAACATTTCTTTGCACTTGTGCAAAACTGCCTCTCATGCCCCTCCGTGCACAAGAGAGGCAGGGGAGGTGGAGGAGCTGGCCCAGTTGACGCCACCGATGCTGCAGTCCCTCCTGTGGCCTCCTCCCCAGGGAGAAAGCAAGGATGAGAGAGAAAGAGAGACAGAATGCTTTGGGGGGAGAGGGAGAGATCTAGAAATTGAGAGAAGAGGTGGGACAGATGTGGGGGGGAATGGGATTCCACCTCTCTGCAAGTTCCCTGTGGACCTTGGCTTGTTCTTTCTAATAACCCGTCTCTGACAGAGAAGTCAGAAGTTTGTTTATTCCAGTTGTCAAGTGAAAACCTTGTATCCTGGCCAAAGACTGCTCAAAACTCTTGTAATGATTAGATATAAAAGAATCATAATGATACAAAAAATACTAGCATGTGTCAGTGAAATTAAAAACCAGAAGCATGCATATCTCCTATCTTAAATTTAAAAGATAAAATACAGTCTCTAAGATCCTCACCAGACAGCTTTCAGAAAAGTTAAGATAGTTTCACTGCATTCCAGATCTGAGGAATTTGGGGGTTTTAGGGCGTGGCTACCTAACCCTCTCATGACTCTGTTAGAACCAGCTGGTTTGTGTCCTCTGAAGGTGTGAGGTGAGACCCCCTAGGAGGTGCCATTTCTCCAAGAATAATCACGTCAGACATGTGTGCTGCTCATCCCGCTCTTTCCAAGGCCTAGCCGGGGTGCAAGGCCCTTTATTCATCAGCTCTCTCTTTCTCAAGGATGTGAGCGCAATGCCTGTACGTCTGCAGACTGGAAAGCTAAAAGCAAATGCTGTACCTTTAACAATCAAAGTCTGTGACAGCCTATTGGTCCGGCCAGTGTGTGCCCACCCTCAGGAGAGCAGATCCAGCCAATGGGAAGGGCAAGAGAGCAGAAACTATGAGAAATACCCCCCAAGCATACACAGTCTGTTGAGCTTGTGGCATCGTGCCAACACCTTTCCAAGCTTTTCCTAAGTATCAAGCAGTGTTCCCTCTAAGCTGAGTTAGTGTGAGCCTAGCTCACAGTTTTTTAGCGTCTGGCTCACATACGTTTGTCTTAGCTCAGGAAGGATGGCTAATTTATGCAGCAGCCAGTGTTCCCTCTAAGCTGAGTTAGTGTGAGCTAGCTCACAGTTTTTTAGCCTCTGGTTCAGGGGTCATTTCCTGCAGGAGCACACAGGAGCGGAGCTCTGGCAGTAAAGAGCCCAGGGGGTGGGCATATGCAACAAGCCCCGCCCCCTGCTCCCAGCAGCCCTCAGTCAGAGCAAGAAGCAGCCAGGTAAGTTGCAGAGCCCCCCCTGCCCCCCAGAACACAGTCCAGTGGCACCTTTAAGACCTTTAAGTTTTATTCAGGTACAAGCTCTCCCTCCTCTGTGAGGACAGATCTGCACATCCCCCCCCCCAATAGCTAGCAATCCAAAACAGTCCAGTGGAGCCTGAGCGGTGGGTGTTGCCTTCTGACACACTTCCGGTGATGTCAGGGGGTGTGGCATATGCAGATGAGTTATGCCAATGAGTTATGCTAATGAGCTCCTGAACCTCTTTTTCTACGAAATGACCCCTGCTCTGGCTCACACATTTTTGTCTCCGCTCAGGAAGGATGGCTCCAGAGCAAACTAATTTATGCAGGAGCCAAATCCTTTGCTCACAACTTTAATGCCAGGAGTCCACCGAGTAGAATTTTTGCTCACAAGACTCTATAGCTTAGAGGGAGCATTGGCAGCAGCCAAATTTAATGCCAGTAGCTCACAAAGGGGAATTTTTGCTCACAAGACTCTGCGACTTAGAGGGAGCATTGGTATCAAGCGCTGATCAGGTATCTTGGGCTCAGTGCAATTGTTCTGTGTGGCAGGAGGCCTGAAACAGAAGTGGGGTCAGTGACACGGCCATTAGGCACCACTGTCCATTTTTGCAGCTGTCGGGTTATTTGTACCCTACTTTTCCGCCCAGTGGGGGGACCCCGGGCAGCTTACGTTGGTCTCTTCCCCTCCGTTTTATCCTCACGACAATCCTGTGAGGTTTGTTAGGCTGAGAGAGGCACAAGGAGGCCAAGGTCGCCTAGCAAGCTGCCATGGCGGGGTGGAGATTTGAACCTGGGTCTCACAGACCCCGGTTGGACTAACGACTCTGTGTCACTCGGGCTTCAGCTGCAAAGACAGTGACCATCCTGGCAATGGGACCAGTTGAGGGTTGTGGGGCTGCAGAGAAACCCATCTTTCTTTTTTAAATCCCCCCCCCCCCAGTTTTTGCATTTTTTAATTTTAAGTTTTCAAACTATTACAAACATTCCACGAACTTATCAACTACCCCCCCAATTTGACGTGACCCATACACCCCCCAAAATACCGAGTAGTGTTATTTGGCCATGTATCACCTTTCGGGGGGGGGGGCGCCCTCCAACTGACTGGCAATCTCTAACCACAGATGCAGATGTCTGGATAAATAATAAGCCAGACCCCCCAGAGCTGGGCTCTGCTTGGGGCTGTGGCGACCATGATGGACGCCTCAAGTCCTGGCAGGGGGGGCTTCTGAGGGGAGGGCCGGGCATCTGGCCCTGTGCCCGATCTTGAGGGAAGAGCCTCGCTGTCCGTCTGTCACAGCAGTAGGAGAAACCCAATGTGAGGACTGGATTTCTGGGTAGGGGAGAGGAGATGTATTGCTGAAGTGGACGGACTGGCAGTGTGGTATAGTGGACAAAGCAGTGGCCTGGGATCCTGAGTGGCCTGAGTTCAAGTCCCCACTTACCCCGTGGAAACTTGCTGGGTGATCTTCTTGGGCCCATCACATGCGAAGCCTGGCCTACCTCACAGGGTTGTTGTGGGAGAATGGTTCCCAAAGCCACTTTGAGTCCCAGCTGGGGAGAAAAGCAGGCTAGAAATAAGTCCATGCTAAAGGCAGGAGGTGGAGGCAGAGGAGAACCCACAGCGGAGGGCCAGGAAGGCAAGGAAGGAAGGGGGAAGGGGGACTTCCTTTTCCCTGGGAGTTCTTGTAGGTTGACCAGAAGTTCCAAATAGTTCTGGTTGCCACAAACTCACAGAGCTGAGAAATGCTCCTTTCCACCCTGGTTGCTCACGAGGGTGTCAAGGGTGCGTTCTTGCTCTTCCCTTTGCACCCCTCCTCCCCAGCAACAATTGCAAGGGGGCTGCTCCCACCCACCCCACCCCGCTCACTCCGTCTTCCTTGCCTTTCAGAGCCAGAGCAACTGACCAGAGGGAGACGGCTCCCCCCTGCTCGCCTTGCTGCTCTGCTCCCGGAGGAGGGCGCTCGTGCTGCCGTCCCCCCCTGCCCTGGGGGAATGAGGGGGCTGCCCCGGCAGAGACCGAGCCGTGTGGCCCAGAAGGGTCCACTGCGCCGGTGGCCGCTGGCTTTCCATGTTTGGACTGTGCCTCCGGAGAGCGAGCCCAGAGCTCAGCATTCAGGATGGATGCTCCACTGGGGAGAGAGACGCCCCTCATCCTTCACAGCGAAGACCTGGCCGGCCTCTTTGGGCCAGACTGCACTACTGGCCAAAGGGAAGAGGAGCGCCTCTGCCTTCCAGGCCACCTCCGTGTGTCACCGCGACAGGGACGGCGGGCCCCGCCTTGGGAGCTGCAAAGCCTCCAGCCACTGGGGCAGTGCGCTGCAGGGGCTCTCCGGCAGCCCCCTCACCATTCCGCAGGGACATCCAAGGGACATCGGTGCCCCACCAAGGGAACTGGGGCCGTTTGCATCTGTGACCCCACATGGGCCAAGGACGGGCTTTGGAAGGTGCTGAGACTGAGCGCCGCTTGCGGAATTCAGCCTCCAAGGAGCCGCTCTGCCTTTGTGCCTCATATCCTCCTCCTCAGGGTGGGCGGCCTCCCTCCATTGACCTCCTCCTTCTGCATAAGGCTGGTGAGGCCGCCGACTTTAACCTCAGGGCCGGACTCCAGGGGCATCTCTCACCAAAAACGGACAGCAAGTCACGTGGCTGCCACGGAACTATGTGGAGGAGGAGGAGGCGGCGGCAGAGGCATGAATGCTGGTGGGAAACTCTTTGGCACCAGACGTCCCAGCAGCCGGGGGGGGGGGAGACTCCTCAGTTTCCCGGAGGATGGGGCTGAATCTGGTCCAGGCCCGTACTTAGTGAACTGTATTAAATTATTTCAATATGACAATACACCATCAACAATTAATCATGTGGTTTTAAAAATATTTTTTTCCACTCATAACAGTCTGAATCTCAGTCAAAGAAAGAGAACTCTGTGGGATGAGAGATGCCATTAACTCCTCCTTCACCGAGACAATTAGAGTAAATATTTCGTTTGTCTATGAAAGGAAATACTTCCTCTCCCTCTCTCTGTTCCTCACTACTTTGGCTGAGTGTGTGACTGGCCCATGGCCATGCAGTGTGCTTTGTGGCAACCCAACTACATTGGAGTCCAGTTGGCCTTTAAGACCAACAAAGTTTGATTCAAGGTATAAGCTTTCATGTGCAGGCACTCTTCTGGAGGGCAAATGAGAGTCCCCGCAGGGTATCTGGGTCTCAGCCTCCAGCCATGGTTCCCTGGGCCGGATGTGGGCCAGCCGGGGATCCAGTCCTGTTGGTGAGCGAGAGGCGACGACAAAGGCTGCACTACATTCTGCTTCACTGAAAAGTCTCTGACTTAAACCAAAAAGGAAACTTAGCTCAGAGCATTCAAAACAGTGTGCACAGTACTGTACCATATAATAAAGAGATCTCTTGGTTGTCTCGTCTGAGGCCGAACGAGGCGGTCAGAAAAGGCAGCCCCTAGGCCCAGATTTCACCCTTTTAATACCCTTTCATTGCTGTGCACCTCCAAGGTGGGAGTTGAAGGAGGAGATACATGATGTGACCCCAGGAAGACCCCACCCACCCAAAGAAGCATGCCCTGGGTTCCCAACACTGGGTTATCTGGTGGGTCCGAGAAGCACGGTCCTTAATCTATGGACGTGTATAGAACAAGGTGGCACTGTATGTATTAGGGGATGGCAAATGATGTGGAGGCCACAGCTTTCCTGGACACAGAGATGCAGGCAGAGCCAAGCTGCAGTGATTTCTGGGACTGAACCAAAGTCTAATGCTGCCAGTATAGTGGCTCCAGCCTCCTTAAGAGTTATATGGAACAAAGCAGAAAATCTCATGTCTCCATTTGAACCAAAACTCTGTCGCAGACAACACGCTCAGTTGCATCTCAGAACCCAGAGTGAGTGCTGGGTCACCCTGGCCTGAAAATACAATCCAGGTCAGCAGAATTACCCCACTTCCCATATTTTGGGGATCCAGCTTTATCTCTCCCCCCCCATAGAAATGAACAGAGACCAAAAAGAAGAAAAGGTCTGAAGACAGAAATATCCCTGGTCTCCTCCATTTCTTTTTCTCTGAAGCAGGTTCCAGGATACCAAAACCGACTTGACTTCTACCACTGGGGCCTCGATCATGTTGGTCCACAAGTGCCTGCTCACTCCCCACCCCCACGACTAAAGGTTTAGATTATGTTTGGGGAAATATGCGGGTACAGGAATCGAAAAAGTACGCAACTACAAGATCAGTGGAACTGTTGTGTTGAGGGTGTGTGTATGAAGAGTTGTGAAAGCAACAGGGAGTCCAGCCCCTGGCCGAATGAGAATTCTGCACCAGGGGACAGCCGCAAGGAGTGGGAGAGAGAGGGATGGGCAGAAGGGGAGAGGAGTTTGTGAAGTGATAATAACTAATAATCATTGTATGGCATTATGTGTAGCGTACCCAGGAGATCCTAAGATTGTCTGGCAGCCCACACTTCTACCCCGTTAGCGTTATGCACTAGTTGGCGAGCTAGACTTGTTTTTTGGGCTGAGAGCGCTCTGGAAGAGCCGTGACTGACCCAGGCTCACCCTTCGTATGGAGAAGTGTGGAATCAAACCCGCTTCTTCATATTAGAGTCTGTCGCTCTTAACCACCACACCACTCTGGCTCCCCCAGAGCAGGATGGGAAGGCGCAGCGGGCCCCCGTCCACGTCTCCTGCTCATCGGAGGAGGACTTCACCTGAAATCAGTCTGCTGAACTGGGTCGTCTGGTTTGATGGTCCACAGATTGAGAGGAAGGGCTTTATGCAGAACTTCCGAAGGTCGGGAGGAAAAAATAAGGTCAAAGGCCACAGACATGGCAAGGAGACGTCCCCAAGAAAGTGAAGCCGAGCTGGCGGCCTCTGCACAAGCGAAGAGGACCAGGCGGCACCGTTTTGGCTGGCAGAGTAGCCGCGGTTACAGGGGCCAGCCCAAAAGAATGTCAGACTGTGGTCGGGTCCAAGAACTCAGGGTGAGTCCAGGAGGAGAGTCTATGTCACACTCTGGCTCTGACTGAGTTGTGGGGTGGTGTTGGTATGAACGAGTGTCCCCCCTGGTGTCATGAAAGAGTTGATCTTTTGTCTGTGTTTACAAACAGTAGTCAAAATTGGCATAGAGCCAACTGGACATTGTGTAGACGTTCCCGCTAGAGAAGGAGGTAGGATTCTAGAAGAAGAGGAGATTGGATTTATACCCCGCCCTTCACTACCCAAAGGTGTCTTAGAGCGGCTTACAAACTCCTTTCCCTTCCCCTCCCCACAACAGGCACCCTGTGAGGGAGGTGAGGCTGAGAGAGCTCTGACAGAAACGGCTCTTTTTCAAGGACAGCTCTTATCAGAACTATGGCTTGGCCAAGGTCATCCAGCAGGTGCAAGTGGAGGAGTGGGAAAATCAAACCCAGTTCTCCCGGATTAGAGTCCGCGCACTGAACCACCACACCAGACTGGCTCTAACGAAGGGGATCTGCGTTTCTCTCTTGCTTAAGCAGTTTTATGGTGGTCATTGCATGCTTTTGGCCTCTTAAACAGTTGTGGGGAACTTTCTGTTCCTTTGTTCTAGAGATCACAGAAGCTAACGAGACAATTTACTCTCTATTATATTTATACCCCCTGTAACCCTCCCTTTTATTTCTTAGTAAAGTTTTCTTTTTGATCAGACATGCAGGATTATGTGCTGTTTTTATTCTGCTGTGCATTTTTACTGCTCTGTTAATTTTATTCCCAGCGGGGGGGGGGGCTTCCCCAAAAGGAGATAGCAGGCGAATTTGTCGCCAGGCAGGGTGGTGGGGGCTTTACACGTGTCTGTGGCAGCCTTGTGGAGACATTCAAGCAAAGTTAGGAAAAGTCATCATGCTCAACTGAGAACCTGCACTTGGGAAGACTTGGATCTGCGAAGGAACCTTCATTGGCCCTCCAATTCGCAAGCCCTCCCCCCCCCCCCCCGGCCCTGCGGAGGCCAGGGCGGGTCCCCCCGGCCACCAGCCTCCTGCCACTCACTTGACCTGGACCTCACCTCCTCTGAAGCAAAGCCCCACTCGCTCCTCAAGCGGTCTCTTAACCAGCCAAACCAGCCTGGTGCCTCCCAGGAGCTTGTTGAGCTCTACAAACAGGGCTGATTGAACGTGAGACCCTTCACGATGCTCTCCAGCAGCCTAGGCAGGGCATTGCCCCACCGGGAAATCCTGGCAAGGGCAGGAGCTCCACTGCCCCCTGAAGTCGATGCCCCTGCCAGCAGCGCTCAAAGCACGCAGCGTCTGCTGACTGCAGGGAGTGCCAGCGCTGATTTCTGCCGCAAACACACTTTTGTGTCTACCAAACCCTACTGGTAGGACCGCTGTTCCTTCTGGGAGCCCACAGCTGCAGCTCCTGCCTGGGAAGCGGACTTTCAGGACACCCTCTTCTTCCCCTCTCAGGAGGCAGTACCCAGTGGCCAGCCAGACACAGCGGGGAGCTTCCAAGCACAGCTCGAGGTTTGCCTTCTGAATCTGCAGACTTCCTCCGAGCAGGGAAGCTCCGTTCAGCCGACAGGATGCAGCCTGTGTTGAGTCCTAGAGCTGGGCAACGGGGAGACGTCTCTCTGTTCATAAGGAGGGCAGGAGTAGGGACACCTAGACTCTGCCCCAAGAGCGAGCACCGGCCCTCCACGTCAGAGGCAGCAGGGAAGGCCTGCAGGGCAAGGACACTGTGCCCCCCCTCCAGCACCTGCCGTCAGTGGTGGGGGTGCCTTTGGTGAGTCACCCCTGAGGCTCTCCCCTTTGGGGCCAGCATCCAAGGGCTGGAACGAGGGCAAGGCCAGCCCCCTCCTTCCCAACAGGGTATTCGGAGCACGGAGGAGAGGCCAGGGCGCCTGCGGGAGGTCAGGAGGGCAGGCCAGTGGGTGCTCACTCTGGCGAGAGGGGCACGGGTGGCCTCTGGAATAAAGACCGTTGGGTCACGTCTGCTGCTCCTACTGTTTCACTGTGTTATTAGAGTGGAAAGCTTTGCTGTCGTGTGGCTAGACAGGTCTTGTGGAGAGGAGTGACGCGTTTGGAGGAAGGAAGTCTAGGGGGTGCCAGGGGGGGTGCCAGGGCACTCCAGAGCCTGTCTCTCTCTTCATCTCCCTCACATAGGAAATGGGGAGGCCAGGCCAGCACACCCCTGGATCGGAACACCCTGCAGCCGACAGCCAAGTCAGCGACCAGGAAGTCAGCTGCAAAGCAGGCCCTGATTCTGGAGGAACATGCTGATTTGGTCGGTGTTACCAAGTCCGGGTGGATAAGCGAGTGGCAGGAGGATGGCCCCCACTTTGCCTGGCAGGTTTCTCAGTACAGCAGCACGGGGGGGGGGTGTCTTTTCATCCTACCACCCCTCTCACCAGCAGTCCCCGAACTCCAAGGGGGTTCGTTCTCGGTGTGGGCACCCCCCCCCAGCCTCAGCGCCGGAACCTCCCTGGCCAAGAGGGCCCCGGTAGGAATTGCTGCTGGGTGGGCCGCAGCACCCCATGGCCGTCTTGAGAGCCCCGAGGGAGAGGCGGTGGTTGTGAGTCACCTGGCCTGTGGGGGGAGGAGAGGAACACGCAGCCTCCTTGGCATGGACACACGGTTCCCCGATGGGATTTAGACAAGGGGGGGGGGGCCTCAAAGGCCTTCCGGGATTGGGAAGCCCACGGGGGACGGTCTGCGCTGGGGTGAATGGAAGACCAAAAGGATTCCTGAACTGGCTGACCAGGGTGGGCCTCTGGGATGGGGTGGGCCTGTCGGGTTGGATCTTGAATTGCACCCTTGAGCGCCGCCCCCCCCCCC